TTAGAGACAGCTCCAGTAACTTGAGCTCTGTCCCAGTGTAATGAAGACCCAGGTATAGTTTTTATTTTGTGTCCTGTGCCGTATTGACTGCTACTGATGCTAAGTGGTGGGTCATATTAAAAAGGTAACACGTTTACCTGTGGTGAAATTTTGAGTAAATAATTTTTAAATAAAGCTGCACTGAGAGCTCAAATAAGTTAGTTTGTAAAATATGTGATTTCTTTTAATACTTTCACTAGTTTCTTTGTATTTTTTGTTGTTTCTTGTAATTTCCAGTTTAATGAAAACCAAGTTTGTCCCTAACATGCAGCAGGGCTGTTAGGGGTTGGTACGAGTTACTGAGGACAAGCAGTGGCATGAAAACAAATTCAGCCCACCTATTTCAGAAGGAACTCTTTCCATAGGAAAATGACATACTTGTGGAGTAAGTAAGAAAAACAAAATAGCTCGTTAAGACGTACTAATTGAAAAGTTTTGGTAGTCTTTATAGTCACTGAGATGTGTAAACTACAAGCAGAAAGCATCCATAGCTCATTTAATTCAAGCGTAAATGCCATCAAATCAAGCTACAAATGCACCTCCCCATTGTAAACAGAATTAAAACATTTGACTTTCCTGGGCTTCCATCCAAAAACACTCACAATGAGTGTGTAATCCTAAGACGTTGCCCTCAATGTAACAATTAGAAGTACGTTCAGAACACACAGACACTTGAGACGTGTTTAGTGAAGGTCACGAGCAATTATCCAGCCTGGTAAAAGCTGGCATGTCTCACATGGCACTGCTGCACACCCTCATTAGGCGTCTTCTGCAGCTCAGAGTGGGTCTTGCGGCTATAAAAGAACTGAGCTTGCTGCCTTCCCAGCCTCCTTTTAGCAGAACTTCACCAGCAGGAGCACAAAGAAACTACACATCACCGCCTCTAGATCAGATAGGAATGGACAAACTTTATTTTGTAAAGGAGGGGGATACTTTACCAAGGAATCTGTGTTTCTTTACAGGTTGAGCTTGGTTGGCTTTCAACAGAAAAACATTGATTTCTCCCTTTTTCCTATAATGAGCAAAAAGGGCTTCTTACCACACAGAACCCGTGAAAGGCTAAAAATATTCTAAATCACACACAAGTGATATTTTGAAAAAGAGGCAAATGTTGAGTCAAACCTTTTATGGAACCAGAACAAACAACAACAACAACAACAGGCACAAATATAAACAAGATAAGTTAATTAATTTAAAAAACAAATGGTGCGTATTTATTTTTTCTGTTCAGGACTTTCTCTGACACTTTGCTTTAAACTTGCAGTCTTCTTCCTGGTGTGCTCAAAGCGAGCAGGCTGGACCCTGACTAATAATTTCCATATTTAGGGCTGAGATCACTAAACTCACAAACACTAAATCAAAACCGTAGACACACACAAAAAGCTCTTCAATAAAACAATATGGCTCGCTCGGTTGTGGAAAGAAAATTGAAACCATGTCAAAAAATATAGCCGACAGATTTTGTTGAAATGGGAAAGACAGGGGTGTCTATAGGTGGCACGATAGGGGGTCCTGGTACCTGGTGAGAAATGAGAAAGTTGCACACTTTTTAGGGTAAATGTAAACATCACGTACTCATCACGTAAATGTGTTTGCATTTTTTGTTCACTCCAAGAAGCCAGTAAGAGGCCTGGGTTGCGTTAGACTTGCACAGAGGCATTATTGTGCATGCACACGAAAATGGTTGTAGGTATTCTTCATTAATTTCAGCTTTCTCCCCCATTTACAAAGGAGTACAATTGTACAACAGCTTCCGACAGATCACTAAATTCCAACGCACACACACGAAAACCATACTCCAACATTTTAGGCCCCTCTAAGACAACGAAAAATAGAACTTTAAATTCACCTTAAAACTTTAAAGACAAAGCACACCCGAGGAGGAGAATCCTTTGATGCCACTTAAAACCAGCATCAATATTTACCGACCGGGGTCGCTGCACCTTACGGGTGTCAGGTGTCAGTTGGATGAGATAACTTGCGTTTGATCTAAAAGCGATTTGGAGGGAAACTATACACCCTGGAGACCTTTGTACTTTCTTTTTGTTTCTTTTTGCTTCGTTTTATTTTATATATGCTCGCAGGTAATCAAATATTTATGATAAATCATGTTCTCAAGTTAAATTTTAGAACATTTACAATAATGCAATGAGGCCCGTTTAAACGAAAGGCAGGTCTAAATGAAATTAAGTTTTCTCACACCCAAGTCATCACGTACGGGTGGCATAAAAAGAGACTGAACAGAGGCTGACTTTTTTCAGCAGGATTTAATACAGACTAAATACATTTAATGATTTCCCCGTGGAAAGATATCTAATCTACGGATCACACTTGTTTCTCTTCACAGTAAAAGCTTGCTTTAGACGCATTAATGCGCAATAATGCTGCACGTTGCAGTTTCGTCTTACGCACTGCAACTAATAAAAATTAAGGTAAACACACACTAAAAGCTGCTTTTGCACAGAATTTAATAACGTGAATTTTATTGCTGTTCTTCAAATTATCCCCATTATCAATGCTCATGCTAAATGAAAACATCTGAAAATATCCACGCACCTGTCACAGTAGTCACGGGCAAACTGCTCCTCAAAATACATTGAGTAAAAAATTCAGATCTAAAATTAAATATTGGGTATTGAACAGCACGTTTTCGGGTTTATTTATTTATGTTTATGTGGGCATGTATTTTATGAATATACATGATACAATGTGACTCCTGAAAAAAAACGTGGGGGCGGTTCAAGGTTGCTTTGTTTTGTCACACTTGACAAAGTCAGACGGTTCAACGTACACCTGACATGCGTGCAAAATGTAGACCTGCAGCAGCTGCGGTTTACTTTCATGGAGAGAAAACGTTCCAACAGTCTAACACATTAACACAGGATACAAATAATTCAAACAATTTAGTCAAATCTCGTTTATTCCTGTAATTCAGCCACACCACCGACCTCGACCTAGAAGCCTCTTATCTAACTGACCCATCCAGGATTCACGCGGCAGAAAATCAGATCGCTCCCGTGCATATTTCTGACTTCAGTATCATTTTAACCATCTGAATTTGAGAAATGAGAAGCTCGGAAGCCAAGAAATTCAGATTTCCAAGACTGGAAAATAAATATATTTCACAGAGACAAACACTAGATAATAAAAATGCAGTCCAGTGGAAGATGTGCATGTGATACAGCATATATTCATATTCCGGTATTCAAAGTTGTTTTGTTTTTTTTACTTTTCAAAATGAAGGTATCATTTATCAGTATTTCCAAATAATTACTGATGCACGTGATGCAATTATGACAATTACAAGTTCAGGAAACTAAAACCTGAAGCGCTGTCCAACGTCAGTTGAGGAGAAAAAAACGGCAAAAAGTGTTATAACGTCTGCGTAAATGTATCCAATAATAAAGCTGAGTCATCAGTGTAGCATTTTTTTAAATGCAAATGTAAGGTTTTAATCGATGCCGCTTATTTGGATATTTTGTTTCCATGCAACATTCAGAAACTGATTTTTAAAATGTGCCCAATTCAAATACGGAGGCTGAGGCGGTGCTGAGGGAACCGGTGCAGTTCCTACAATGTCCAGATGAGGGGAGAAATGCCAGCCGGGCACTGGCGGAGAAGGAATAATAATAATAATAATAATAATAATAATAATAATAATAATAATAATAATAATAATAATGTTTAAATAGAATTTATACTCAACAACGAACACAACTGATGCTTCCTCATGTTTGTCCAGTATCACCGCTCTACAACCTGCAAATGCAGAAATGCAGCATGTGGACTTGTGATATCTGGTCGCTTGGTCTCCAGACAAAGTCCACAGTAAAACCAAACGTGTCCGTGGCAGGTATGAAGCTTTCAGGCGATCTTCTCCAGCCCCCCTGACTCTATTCCTCTGACCTAACGTGATGCTTTCCATGTGTCCTGCTTTCAGCTTTGGATGGAGAAGTAGTCAGGAGACAGAGAGGAGAGGGGTTGGGCCGGTTATGTGCGTGCGTGCGTCCTTGTGTTGTGTGAGGATTGTGTGTGTGTCTGTGTGTGTGTGGTTGGGGGGGACGGGGGGGGGGGACGGGACACTACACCTTGTTACCATTGGGTCGACTGTTAAGTTTTACAAGTAACATTTTGCGAGCTTATAAACGATACCTTCTAAACTTGCACAGGAAACTCCGAAAACATGCTGTGATAATGTATGTCTGTGGAATCCAGTCGATAAGCCATAGTCTGGGAGCTCCGCGATCTACAGAGGTATCGATTACATGAGGCCCTTCCCATGTTTGATGCCTTAACACTGGCTTATAAAAAGACTCAGGCGGGAAGTGTGCAAGTTTCCTCCCGCTCTGGTGGCCAAGAGAGTCGCTTCTGCGGGATAATACCTTTAAATACTCCAGAGTTGCTCAGTCAGCCTATTTATTATATACAATATAAAGAAAGAGGAAAAAAGATTTGTTGGCGTAAGTAAGCAAAACTGTTTTATCTCAAAAGTTAGAAAAAGTCTCTACAAACTGTAAACGTGTCAGATCTGATCTTCTAAAAGAATAATTTGAGATTTTGGGGGTAATTTAGAAAAACAAAACAAACACATTCCCTGTTATAAACACGCGTCACTGGTTTCATACATTCAAATTTGATGCAATTTCAGTTAAATGAATACAATTACACTGTAACGTTCAAGAGAGTGAGATTCATTTATTAAAAATGACCGTCAAACTGAACTACGTGCGTTATCGATATTAATACATGTCTTAAAAATGGCTCCATTTTATTTTAGACCTGAAATTACTTGGAACGAGTTCAGCAAGGTTACACCTCTACTGTCATCCCGCTTATTACATCTCCCATATTACAAGTCCTTACCAGAAACGGTGGATGAAACGCTTCCCTGTCTCCACTTCCCTCTATGCAAAACTGTCAGGAGGCTGCGCAGCTCTAAACCGGATGGGGTTTGTATTGGCTGAGAGCATTTCCAGCTCAGGACGACCAATGAAACCAAAGCAGAGACTCGGCGTATAACAGCGAAGGTTGAAGGACGCTCCAAATTAATTCCAGCAGGCTCCGGACTCCCCGGGATAACTCTAAATTGCATATATCGGATGAAGATCACTTTGGCGCTATTGTACCTTGCAGGCACTTGCTTCCAAAAAGAAGCGGGCACGCTGCTTTCGGAGGATTTTAAAAAGGTCTACGTTTTCTCTTCTGGGGCTCATTCCTCCCGTTCCCTTTTCTTCTCTGATCTCACTCGGCGCATTCAGCCATTTGAAAGGACACCTATATTTCCAAGCATCTCGAAACATATAGGCAAATGGGTAAGCCTTTACCGTCTGCATGCTTCAGTGACATGTAGCTTATGGAAGCGTATCCAAACTCAGCACGCCTGCGTAAAAAGAGAATTAAGGAACCTTTCCCCTTCTCCAAGTTCAGATAATGTGCAAATAAAAAAAAAACCTTTTGGAGAACAAGTTTATTCTTTGGGGGGATTTTTTCCAGCACTGCTGAGCAGGAATGACAGCCTGTTTAAAGCTTTAAATCGTAAACTTAACCACAGAACCAATTATCCAGTGAGACGCGTTTCTTTGAAGCGCTCTTGTCTGTATTCTTCGAGCTCGCCATTTTTTATGTTTTTGTTGTGTTGGAGGCTAATCCCAGCCAAATACTTTATATACTTTGTATAGTTGCAAAGTAAAGGCTAACCAGCTATCAGCTTTATGAACTCGGTTTATGGCGTGGATTATAACTGAACTGCATCAAACGGTCTCAGCTGAGCATTTTAAAATGCTTTTGCCTCTCACTATTTTTTTTCTCGCTTAATTGAATATGTGTCAGAATAAATGCAATGAAAAAACACGCTGTAATATTTTCTTTGATCACATTAGTGGACTCAACTCAAAGAGTAACAACACGTAACTCGTATCTTTCTCTTTTCCTGCAGAGCAAACCTATGGAGAGGTGAACCAACTAGGCGGTGTGTTCGTCAACGGCCGACCTCTACCTAACGCCATACGGTTAAGAATTGTAGAGCTGGCTCAGCTCGGGATTAGACCCTGTGATATAAGCAGGCAACTCCGAGTCTCCCACGGCTGCGTGAGCAAGATTTTAGCGAGGTACAACGAGACTGGCTCCATACTACCCGGTGCCATCGGTGGAAGCAAACCCCGAGTCACGACGCCGAACGTGGTGAAAAACATCAGGGACTACAAACAAAATGACCCCGGGATCTTTGCTTGGGAGATCCGGGACAGGCTTTTGGCTGATGGTGTTTGTGACAAGTACAATGTCCCGTCGGTTAGCTCGATCAGCAGGATTTTACGCAACAAGATTGGAAATCTCTCCCAGCCTAACCAGTATGAAAGCACCAAGCAAGCCTCCGCGCAGGCAGGCCTCCCCTACAACCACATATACCCTTATTCCTACCCCAACACTATGTCACCCACTAGCACTAAAATGGGCAGCCCTCCTGGAGTACCAGTGACGGCTGGACATGTGAGCATTTCCAGGGCCTGGCCTTCTGCGCACACCGTCAGTAACATCCTCGGAATACGAGCCTTCATGGATCCTACAGGTGAGGAAAACGACACTTTATAATCCTTAAAATCACAGGCTTCAAAATGCACGACACTTTATCTCTCACAAATAAGAGCTTAATAAACTTGAACAGCTGGTTATTGTGCAATTCCACACGACTAGTTTCCATACCTCTTCGTACAAGCAGCTATGGCAACAGACGGGACAATGTGCCCATTAAAATGTGCACAGGCCTCCATTTCACCATTCAGCCAGAACGTAGTAAGGCCACGCTCAATGGGCCTTTTCATGGGATGATACATTTACGAACACCTTGCCCACCTGCTACATCCAACCTAATAATTCAAGCACTCCTTATATTTTTTTCCCTCTGCCTTGCTGGCGTTTTACTCATTTTACTCATTTACTCATCTACTGTTGGGTCTCACAGCTACGGTTGTGTTCCAACTGAATTTATTCAAAACATATGTAGAACTAA